TGCATCAATCCACACACAAACATCATGATATTCTTAATTGCAACTTTCAGATGATGAAGAAAGGCTTGAAACATCATTAAGGAACCCATCATCCATCCTGTTTCTTCCTAACCTAGGTTCAGGTGCAGCAACAAAGTTGTGGCAAGCAGCTCCATTTTGGTGCTTCAACTTTGATTCAACGGGCAGGATCTTCAATGTATGTTCTGTGTAGAAAGATATCCATGGATGTCCTGAAATTGAACCACATAATATTAATTTAACATGCAAACAATCAAACAGTTCTTAAAACTTAAAAGTACTGTCATTTTATTTCCTGTTTAAAAACATTAGGGAGAAAAAGAGAGCCTAAACCACATAGAAGAACACATAATAAAAACTAACAAAAGTATGTGAGAATTAACAGATTCCCACCACTGTTATCCCAACCAAAACAAGGCAGAATTCATGTCCTTATAATTTTAATTATTTCAAGATTGAAAAACAAAAAATCAGACAAATACAACTTATTCTTAGACCGCTAGCAAATTTAATTGAATACTGAACATAGTAAACTTAAGGGAGATGACCATTTGAACTCTCCAATTTTTACTCCTATGTACAGGGTAACATTAGTAAAGTACAATTCAGTTGAAAGCTCATCATGATGAACTTCTTCAAACTTGCCTAGACATTTTTTATTAACAGAATGACTAGGATGGAATTTTACACAAGGAAGGTTGTGTAAGGATTCTATTCATAGAAGTTAGCACATATATATACCATAGGATAACAAAAAAAGAAGATCATCCAAACAGGTTTAACATATTACCCTTAGAAATTCTCATGGCCAGGCCAAAATCAGCAAGCTTTATTTCCCCCGAAGCAGTAAGCAGAATATTCTCAGGCTTGATATCTCTGTGCACAACTCCCATATCATGACAATACTTGATGACCAACATCACTTCCTTAAGTATATTAGCAGCCCGCTGTTCAGAACAAGGGCCCTCCCTAAACATCTGGTCGACAAGTCTTCCCCCAGAGCACAATTCCATCACCAGATGAGAGCAATCAGCTTCCTCATACACTGCCAGCAGAGTCACAACCCCAGGATGCCCAGACAAGTGCTGCATTATCTCCACCTCCCTGTAAACAGTCTCATCCCCCTTCTTCAGAGACAATGTCCCACAAGGAGGAGCAGTGGCAAAACCCGCCACCCTACTCTTGTAGGAACCAGCTGAGTCTATCTTAAATAGAAATTAAGACTACCACTCGTCAGATTAGGTTTTGGCCTAAATACGTTAAGTTTATATAAAATATTTTGAACTTGGTTTGACCTATTAATTTGGTGTACTCTACATTATAGGTTTGGTCTTGTCTATATTTAAAAATCAAAATATATGACCTAGGCATATTAACATGTTTAAGCCTACGAATCTTTAATAATTATCAAAGTAAATATATATATATATATATATATAAAATAAATTTTTATTAGTTAAATTTATATAAATAATTATTTATTTTATTTGAATTAAATTAAATAATACGATATACTGACGTATAGGTCAATATTTGTAAAAGGAAATGTTTTCTAAACAAGTTTTTTTTGAGGTCCAAGCCTATTTTATTTTACTAAATATATTAGCTAGGTCAAACCTAACCTACTTAGACCGAATTATAAACACTTAATAGACCATTTGATCCATTTAAATCCCTACATGGAAGTTATGTGTGAGGAAGAACTTGCAATTTGTGTGTTAACAATATTGAGCTTGGAAAATTTCACACGGCAAAATAATGTATCGATTATGTATAAATTATAATCTGTATATATTTGTTAGTTGTGGTTATGATGACTGAAGTTACTGTTTAGACCTTATAATTACTTCTTCATGAATCATGATATTTTTAATTAATTGTCATTTTTTCAAAAATATGCTTAGCGATATATTTTTATTTATTTTAAATAATTCATATTTCTATCATCGATTCATACTCTCAATCCAAAACATATAATTGAAAATATTATATTCAACTGTAAAATTATTATTATTATTGAGGTAAAAAGTTTTGGGCGACCTTTCATTGAATTCCACCATAAGATCAAGATGCTTTCCAAGTAAATCGGTTACCAAATTTTGCAATTCATTCCTTTTTATTATTTCACTGACGAAAAAATTATGAAGGCACTTCAAGAAAGCTTGGTAGTCATCAGCACTGTTCAACTTCTCCTTAACTTTCTCAAAGAAACTGAATGCTTGACTATACATGTTCTTTAAGGTATCCTTGTCTTCCTTAGAAGAAAAGTCTGAAGCCAACCCAAAACCTTCAGCTTTCTTGACAGATTTCTTTTTCTCATGAAAGCGCTGCAAGTTCAAATCCCTGCTGTTATTATTTTATATTGACAAAAATCTCACATGAGTCTTTACAATATTATTATTTTTTATTCTATAAATAATGTTCGCCCATCTAAATGTGACAACGCCTAACTCACCAGGTATTGTAAGCGAGTTAGGTAACGTGACATTATGAACAAAAATTTACAAAATGTGACATTCAGATAATTTTTTACAAAAAATGTGGCACTTTAATCGTTGTCCATCAAAGAATCCTATAACAATTTCCATCTTAAAAACAAATCAAGAATTACAAGCCGTCTGTACTAAATAGGGAATGAAAGAAAGGGGCAAAAAAGTAGAATACATTCTTATATATTAAATTAAAGTTTATTCTCTTAAATGTAATGCCTATAATAGAGTAAACGCATATGATTTACTCTGCATCAGTATCCTTTCTATATATACTGCAAAAGACAACTCTGTGTTTTGTGATATAGTTTCTGAACTGTTAAGAGTTTGTTTCGTGCCAGCTCAGTTTCTGTTAGAAGTTAGATTTGCTGAGCTGGGGGGACACTGTAATCAGTTTAATCTTAAGTCAATAACACAGTTCTCACTCAGAAACTTTCTCTGATCTCTTCTCTCTTTCTCCTCCTCCTCCTCTCTCTCTCCCCAAAATTATATTCTGTTATGTAAATAAGTTTACATTCACTCCAATTCCTTCTTATACTCAAACTAACTAGGTTGATTGAGAAAACTGCATTACACTCAACTAACAGAAAACAACATTTTCGTCCTAAATAATCAGCAATAACTTTGGGGTAATAAGTTATGAGTCAGATTAGTTCTAGCAAACCCAACCCCATGAGCTAGGAAAATGAAAATGTAGAGAGAAAGAATCATCCAATAAAACCGTTAAAAAGGGGAGAAATGGATACCTCAAGAAATTGTTGAGCATTTATATGATCAGGTTCTCTCTCATCCTGATCACGATTAATCCTCATATCCTTACTCTCACGTTTCCTCCGCTTCTTGTGCATGTTCATCATTGTGTTGTCATCATCCATCTCAGGGTGTTCAACACTCAGATCACGCTCACGATCATGAGAAGGAAGCCTCTTTCGTCGATATACTTGCATTTGCCGCATCATGGGTGCCATAGAACTCCGCTCACTAAAGCGCTGCAATGAATTTCGAGCATCCGGAGCATGCTGTGTAGAAGGTGCTGCGAAACTATCTGGTAAGAATCTAGTGAACTCCTCAAGCAAATCTCGATGATCCTTAAACAGGGTAGCAACCTCACTATAAATTTCACCTATGTCCTTATGCTCTTTGCGGTACATATTGGAAATGTTCAAGAACGATTTGTAAACATGCTCATCACTTTGGAATCGTTTCTTTATCTTGTTCACAAAACTAATAGCTTCTTCAAATTCAACCGTTTTCTTTGGAGGAGCCTCATCCCTTACTCTCTTCATCTTTTATCGGTTCTCCAGATTTTCCTAGGAAAATTCGCTGGAAAACAAGTCGAGTAGATCGACAAGAGAAAGAAAAAAAAAGAGTGAAGTGTTTGATCGGACAGAACAACAAGGTAAACAAGAAAAACAACAAATAGGGTTTCTTCTTTCTCTGTCTCTCTCACGTTGTTGCGTTAGAACGATGGAAACTGAGGCGGTGGGAACCAATTAAAAGGCTAGATTTAGAATTTTATATGGGAAAAAAATTTAATTATTGCATTTTAATTAATTAATTATGCAATTTGGATTGTGATTTTTTTTTTGGAGGTTTGGATTGTGATTTGATAGAAGAAAATAAATAAAATTTATGATATGTGATTTAATTTTTTACAGTTTTGGATTGTGAACCAATCTGCGTGTGTGATTTAATATAAAAAATTAATCAAGATTTGATGTGTGATTATATTTAAATTTTATTTTTATTTTTATTATAAAAAAATTTGGTTTGTTATTTAAATTAAAAGTAAAAATTATTATTAATAAGGAAAATAAAATAAAGATTTGATTTGTGATTTAAACTCAAAAATCAATTTGAAAAATCTGTATTAATAAATGAAATAATTCAATAAATATTCTGAATCTCTAAGGAATAAGGATTACCTAATTTAAATTTAAATTATGTTTGTGAGAAATAAAATATATCAAATGAGATGTCATTGCGTAGATCTCGAAAAGTTATGTGGAATCAAAAAACAATTACCTGAATTGGATACCCGAGTCAAAAGTTATGGCCTTCAGAAGTTTTATGATTAAATTATTATTATTTTTTTATAAAAAATGACACGTGTCAACCTTAGGTGAGAGATGCCTAAATGAGGCGTCACATTGTAAAATAGATCCGTAATTATTTCCAAAACTGCCATAAATGCGTAATATTTAATTAAAATGCAATAATTAAATTTTTTTGCCAATTTTATATATCTCAAAGATATGAATTAGTATTATTATATCTCCTTGGAGTGATGGATCAATCAACAAATTAATGACTCTACTAATTTAATTTAATATATTATTTAAAAGTAATATATTTAAAATCAAATTAAATCTAATCCTGCCAATTATTAAAAAAAATTTAAAATATATCTTGTTTTTAAAATAAAATAAAATAAAAACATAAATGAAATGATAATTAAAATTCATAAAATTTATACTTAATATATTTAAATTTTATTTATCCTGATATGATAAGCATAGGTTGTGTCAAAATTTCTATATAAATACATAAAATACAAAATTTAAAAGTACACAATACGATAAAGTTTTGTTTCAAAATTTAAAAGTACATAATACAAAATTTAAAAGCACAAATTCTTTTAGTTTTAAAATAATCATTGTTTAAAGATTTGTACAAAAATTAAATAATTCATTAAATTCTTTACGATTTAATGAAAATATAAGTTTATTTGATTATATTACACCTTCACTCTATTAAATCATTCTTATTCCAATAAGTAGAAATAAAAAAATAAAGTAGAGCTAAGGAAATAATATATTTTTTTTTAAAGTGACAAATAATTTAGAATAAATTATAACTTTTTAAATACAATTAGATAAAATGTGCCTATCATAGTAGAAAGCAAGTTAAATTCAACACCATATTATTTAAGTGGAAAGTGTTTGTCATTTTAAATGACATAAAGTTATGTCATTTGTAACGCCCGGTCGCTTCAAGAATCAATGACTATCCCCACATACTAACATGAGACTTTTCAGTGTGCTTTTTCCTTACTCGCACACTTCCCGGGAAAACTTCCTAGGAGGTCACTCATCCCATAATTGCTCCTAGTCAAGCACACCTAACTGTGGAGTTCTTCCGATCCGGGCTACCGAAAAGCAGATGCATCTTGTTAGTATAGGTAGTACCAATTGATTCTTATAAGCTATTCTCAAACTGTGCAGTCTCATACCTGCACAGTCTTTGGAATTCTTCTCTTTCGGGTGTCGATTCGATTCATTCATGCATGTAACCCCACACTAGAAGCCTGTCAGGAGTCACTCCTTGTCCGTGCCCCTTTGCACCGGCGATTACTCCCTGCCCTCGTCAGCGCTCTAGATGTTACATCATTTTAATAGAGAGATTCACACAAGAAATTATTTTTTATTTAAAATTTAAATTAAAAAAATCACTCACTTTTTCTCCCATGATTTTCATTTCTTATCTCTATATCTCTCCTAAAATAATATAACTTATGTCATTTAAAATGACAAACATCAAACTCATTATTTAAACATGGTCCTATCACTTAATTTGTTTTTAGCTTTTTTTTTTTTAAGAAAAAACCCAAGCAAGACCTGATTATCAAACTTGTGCAGGACAACAAATTAGACATGATTAGTTATCAAACTTCAAGACCTAATACGTCAAATGCTTTGACGGGATTAGCCAAAAAAATTAAGTCCATGTTTTTTAATAAATTAATTACGCATTTATTACCGTTTTGGAAATAATTATATATTTATTGTACAATATAACGACCAATTTGGGCGTCACTCAAGACGCCTAAATTGGGCGTCACTCAAGAGGCAATCATACTTAATTTAGGCGTCATTTATCAGATATTGACACATGTCATATTTTTTTTCCAAAAAAATAATAATTTAATCATAAAACTTCTGAAGGCCGTAACTTTTGACTCGGGTATCCAAATCAGGTAATTCTTTTTTTAATTCCTCATAACTTTTAGAGATCTACGCAATGAGATCTCATTTGACATATTTTATTTCTCACAAACACAATTTAAATTTGCAAGAATAATATTATAAGAAACATTAAACCCGGAAGCCTCTGAGTTCTGGATTTGTGATTTAATATAAATAAATAAATAAATAAAATTTTGATTTGTGATTTAATTTTTTTTTAATAACATTTTTTTATTATAACAAAAATTTGGTTTGTGATTTAAATTAAAAATTAAAATTAAAATTATTATTAATAAGGAAAACAAAATAAAGATTTGATTTGTGACTTAAACTAAAAAATCATTTTGAAAAATCTGTAGAAATAAAGGAAATAATTAAATAAATATTCTAAATCTCTAAGGAAGAAGAATATTATTTTTGAAATTAATGATTAATGCTATAAGCTTCTAAGTTATTGTTTATGGTCTAAAATTAATTATGGCTTATGAATTTTTTTCAAACATAAAATTACCTAAATTAGGCGTGATTGCCTCTTGATTGAAACCCAATTTAGACGTCATTAGTGACGTGTCAGGTGTTGACACGTGTCACATTTTTAAACTCAGAAGTCTCTGTGCTTTGGGTTTGTGATTTAATATAAAAAATAAATCAAGATTTGATGTGTGATTTAAATTAAAAAATAACAATTATTATTAATAAGGAAAACAAAATAAAGATTTGATTTGTGATTTAAACTCAAAAATAAATTTGAAAATTCTGTATTAATAAAGGAAATAATTAAATAAATATTCTAAATCTCTAAGGAAGAAGGATTACCTGATTTAAATTTAAATTATGTTTGTGAGAAATAAAATATGTCAAATAAGATGTTATTGCGTCGATCTCGAAAATTTATGTGGAATCAAAAAAAGAATTACCCTATTTGGATACCCGAGTAAAAAATTATGGCCTTCAGAAGTTTTATGATTAAATTATATTTTTTTGAAAAAAAATATGACACATGTCAACACCTGATGAGTGACGCCTAAATTAGGCGTGATTGCCTCTTGAGTGCGAGTTGGCTCCCTCCGGTATCCCCACGAGCTTCGACTCTTTGAGCCGGCTATGGGACTAATCCGGAGTGCGGGGGAACAGTGACCTTACACAAATTTCTGATATTCTTCTTGACTTTCTCCCTAATTTGTTCCCTAATTTCTATCTTAGGAATTTCCTTCATCCAATACCTGAATTTGTTTTTTCTTGATTTGCAGGAGATATTGTGACACTGTTGAGTCTTTCTTGACATTCCTCAACTGAATCTTCAATTGTTTCACTTTGGCACGAGTCTGAGATGCAAAGAACTCTTCAAGCTTGTTCCAGATTTGGTAAGATGACTCACATCCAACCATCCTTGTGTGTAAGGATTCAGACATTGACGCAAGAAGCCAAGACATCAGTAGCTGATCTTGCTGTTGAGAAGATTGCTGAACTTCATTTTCAATAAACTTTTGCAGATTGAAACCTTTTACAGTCGCCATAGCTTGCTGCTTCCATGGCAGAAAATTGCCTTCATCCAATTTGAATGAAACTGGATTTGAAAAGGTGTGTAGAGTAGGTTGTGAAGAAGTGGTATCGGTCTCCATTAATGGATGTTGTGCGGAAGTAGTGGTATTGGTCTCCATGGATCAAATGAGCTTTGATACCATGTAAGGTATCAGAACCAGAGAGAGAGATGGAGAGAATAGAGGATGAACAAGAAGAAAGAAATAAACTGAATAATAGAAATCTTGAATTGAATCATAATGTGAACTGTTACATATATACAATGCTGATAATAACTGTAATAACTAAATCAGTTATAACTGAAGCGTATAATAAGGAATCTGTTAAATCTACTTTATCCGTTTACATCCCAATAGAAACATTAATTAATCTCGAACTTTGATGACCATATTTGAGTCTGGAAATATTATTAATTGTGGTTGACATTAATGATGGCCAAGTCATCACATGGTGCATGCAAGATGACTAAAAATTGTAGGGGAATTGGAATTAAGGCAAAACACAAAAGAGGCATGAAGAACCGCGTAATGAGAAGAAAAAATTTCACTAGCGCTTTAATTTTGAGATAATGTTAAAGAGATTGTGATAGTTAACTAATTTTTTGTGTGGTAAATAATTACCTTAGTGATACCAATTTCTACGGAGAATAATCACATAAGTGAATTAATCACAATAATCAAACCATTGGAATGGATTTCCTCTCAGTATGAATGTAGAGAAATATTAAAGAAAATGATTGAAATAAATGATTTCATAAAGCATAGTCTGTAAGAAAAAAA